TCCAATCCGTCCCATTCTAATATGCAAAAGACAATACACAGTTTTTGTTTTTCTTGTCAACATGGTCGTGCTGTCGCCACGTCGCAAAATGCGCGGCAGGAATGGGACGCGGCGCACACCCCGCGCGAAGGGGTGACATGTCGCTCTCGCCTCGGCGCCGCGCACCAACGTTTTTCCTCTCAGCATGGACGTCCTGTCGTCCACGTCGCAAAATGCTTGGCAGTAATGGGATGCGGCGCACACCCCGCGCCCGCCCATCCAAACCCCCCCGTTGTAAAAAAAACAATGCAAATTGGGGCCTTCTGGACGCCTCCTAATGCAATCCCATGAATCGTATGGGCGCATGGGGTCCCTTGGGGCCTCCTGGGGCCTTCTCGTGAGGCCTCTCCGTGTTTGCAAGCATTTCGGCATAACAACATCAAAACCATATGCTTTTTGCACAAAAACTCTACACGTTTCCTGCCCGGGCTGTCTTGTTGAAATCATAGGAAAACCATGGGAATCTTAATAATTCTGCCAAATCCAGCGATTTCACGTCACCGCGCGGTGCACTCGCGATGCTCTGTTATGCACCCAGGCCGCGAATCCTGTGCAAAAAACACCACGCGGGCGACATGCGCGCGCGTCGCCGCGAGCGCATGCTCAAATCCTTCTAGAGTCGTCGCCATCATTGGCACCGTCGCATGGACGTCCTGTCGTCCACGTCGCAAAATGCATGGCAGGAGTGGGACGCGGCGCACATCCCGCGCCAAAGGGTGACATGTCGCTCTCGCTTCGGCGCCGCGCGCGTTTTCCAGGGGGGTCCCATCCTAACCTCCAAAATACAATACAAAATCATCGTTTTTCCTCTCAGCTTGGACGTCCTGGGCAGGAATGGGACGCGGCGCATACCCCGCGCCCGCCCATCCAATCCCTCCCATCCTGATCTGCAAAAGCCAATACAAAAATGCGTGGCTGGGGTGGGACGCGGCGCACACCCCGCGCCCGCCCATCCAAACCTTCCCATCAGAAAAAACAGTATAAAATTGGGGCCTCCTGGACGCCTCCTTGTGCACTCCCATGAATCCCATGGGCGCCTGGGGCCCCGTGGGGCCTCCTGGGGCCTCCTGGGGCCTCCTTGTGTTTCGTGGGGCCTCCTGGGGCTTCCTCGGGCCCCCTCGGGCCTCCTGAGGCGTCCTGGTGCCTCCTGGGGCTTCCTGGAGCCTCCTGGGGCCTCCTGTGGCTTCCTGGGGCATCCTGAGGCCCCGTGGGGCTTTCTGGAACCTCATGGGCCCTCCTGGAGTCTCCTGACGCTTGAGGGCTTCCTGAAGCTTCCTGGGGCCTCCTGAGGCGGACCCAGCCGTGGCTGCGGGAGCGCTCCAGATGGCTAAGGGGTGACGAACGCCCCAAAAAACGAACCTGCTGTGATTCCCGACCCGTCTCATTGAGTGGTTTTCTGGCCTCAGCTCCGGCTTCTGACGGCCGTTCGGGACGATTCTGGCACCCCTGCAGCGCCCTCGGCGAGGCGCGGCTGCCTGAGCGCATCCCGAGGCGGGGACGACTCCATCGCAGATCAGGTTGTTTCGTTCAAGTCGTCGTCGTCGTCGACGTCGTCGTCGTCCTCGTTGGCCTCTACTACGTACTAGTAGTACTGCAAGTACTTGTCATAGCACTACTTTTTCTGTTACTACTACTACTACTACTACTACTACTACTACTACTACTACTACTACTACTACTACTACTACTACTACTACTACTACTACTACTACTACTACTACTACTACTACTACTACTACTACTACTACTACTACTACTACTACTACTACTACTACTACTACTACTACTACTACTACTACTACCACTACCACTACCAACACCACTACCACTGGTACTACTACTCCTGCCTCTTGGGGCCTCCTGGGCCCCCTTGGGGTGTCCTGTCAGACCGTCGGGCTTCCTCCGGCCACCTCTGGCTTCCTGCGGTGTACCGGGCCATTCTCGACTCGTCTGGCAATGCGTGCGCGGCATTCAACACGCGCTCGCCAGTTCCCGTCGGCAACCGCCATCGCGGCCGCATCAGCTGTACCAAACCGGCTGGCCGGTGTGACTTCGGCCCCCAGTTGTGCCAGCTTTGCTTCTTATGTTGTGGGAGGACGGGTGGGACTGGGCATGCCATGCTTGACTCGCTCGAGCTGGCTAGCTTGACTCCTACTCCTACTCCTACTCCTACTCCTACTACTCTACTACTCCTACTACTCCTACTCCTACTACTCCTACTACTCCTACTCCTACTCCTACTACTACTACTACTACTACTACTACTACTACTACTACTACTACTACTACTACTACTACTAGTAGTACGACGCCTACGACTACTACGACTCCTACTATGACTGCTACTACTGATACTACTACTACTGCTACTACTACGACTACGCCTACTACTACGCCTACGACTACGACTACGACTACGAATACGGCTACGACAACTACCACTACGACGATGACTACTGCTACTACTACTACTACTACTACTACTACTACTACTACACTACTACTACTACTACTAATAATAATAATACTACTACGACGACTACTACTACTGCTACTAATACTACTACAACGACTACGACTACGACTACTACTACTACTACTACTACTGCTGCTACTACGGCCACCACAAATACTACAACCGCTACTGCGACTACGACTACTACTGCGACTACGACTTCTACACCTACCACTACGTCTACGACTACAACTACTAATACGACTACGACGACTAATACGACTACGACTACTACTACTACTACTACTACTACTACCACTACTACTAATGCTGAAACTACTACTACGACTACTACGACCACTACTACTACTACTACTACTACTACTACTACTATTACTACTACTACTACTACGACGACTATTACTACATACGAGTACATTTAGGACGACGAAGGCGACGACGACATATGAAACTAATACAGCTAAAGCAACACCTACTCCGACTATTACGACGACTACGACTACTACTACTACTACTACTACTACTACTACTGAAACTACTACGACGACAACAACAACTACTACTACTACTACGACTACTACTACTGCTGCTACTACTATTACTACTGCTGCTGCTGCTGCTACCTACTACTACGACTACTACTACTACTACTACTACTACTACCACCTCTTCCACTACTGCTACGACCAGTAGCAGTACTACTTCTACTACTACTACTACTACTACTACTACTACTGCTACTACTACTACTACTACTTCTATTACCACTTCTACTACAACTACTACTACTCCCCCTACTACGACTACTACTACTACTACTACTACTACCACTACTACTACTACTATACTACTACTACTACTACCACTACTACTACTACTACTACTACTACTACTACTACCACCACTACTGCTACTACTACTACTACTACTACTACTACTACTACTACTAGTACGACGACTACGGCTACTACTACCACTACGACTACTGTTACTACTACTACTACTACTACTACTACTACTACTACTACTACGAATACAAATGCTACTACTAGTGCTAGTACTACTACTACTACTACTACTTATACGTCTACGTCTGCTGATACAACAACTACTACTACTACTACTACTACTACGACCACTACTACCACTACTACTACTACTACTACTACTACTACTACTACTACTACGAAGACTACGGAGACTACGACTGCGACCACTACTACCGCTACTACTACTACTACTACTACTACTACTACTACTACTACTACTACTACTGCTTCGAAGCGACAAGACGACTGCTACAGCCATTGCCTTTCAAGCTCTGGCAGGCGAAATTCGGTTCTGACGGGGCTGGGGTTGCGGCGGGGCTGGTGTACCGCATGCTGCTAGCGTGCGGGCAGCTGGTCTGCGAATGTGTCCGCCAACGGCAGCTTTGTCAGCCTAAAGTGCGGTAAAGAAAAAACTTGTCCGCGCGATCGTGGGCGCCTGTCCAAGGGCAGCTGGAAAACCCATACCTCCACTTGTCCGGGGGGGGGGGGCGTGAAGGTGGGGTTGGGGCAGAGGTGACGTCGGGAGAAAGATCGTTCTGAAGGGGCCCTGGAGGGAGACGTGCGCATCCAGCTGGACTCGTTCCCCAGCCCCACCTTTGGATAGCCCTCCCTCCACGAACCCCCGCCGAGCTCGCAAGGGAACGTTCGGGGGGACCGGCTCGGGGGGGAGGACCTCGTCGCCGACGGCTCGGCCGCAGGTCCCCCTGGGAGTTCCTGGGTGGGGTGGGCCGCCAGGCCCCCTATCTTGGGCGAACGCAACGTGTTACTCTGTTCGTCATGATTCCGCTGGCTCCAAGTACGTTTCAGGAGACCCTTCCCTCCCTCCCTCCCTCCCTCCCTCCTTCCCGCCCTCCCTCCCTCCCTTTCGGGTGCCTAACCGCCCCTTCCCTCCCTCCGTCCCCCCCCCTCCCTCCCCCCTCCCTCCCTCCCTCCCCCCTCCTCCCTCCCTCCCCCACTCCGCGACTGTGCGAGAGCGCCAGGCCGCGTGAATCTGAGCTCTGAATTTGCCTCACTCCTGCTGTCCCGTCCCCACCCCTCACCCCCTCTGGGGGGGGGGACCGCTCCGCGGTCCCTCGTTTCACTTTTTGATGGCAAGGTGTGGGTGATGCAGCCTTAGTTGGGCAATGCCAGTGGCCTCCTCCTTGGCAAAGGGCGATGCAATCGGACCTCTCCCAGAGGTGCGTCCTGACCAGAATATCGAAGCGACTTCAGGTGGCGACGAGGGTCTCCCAAGAGGCCCAGAGAGGCGAAGACGAGGTCAGAGGTAGTTGCATGGGGGAGGGGGCGGAGGGGGGGAAGTCCAACAAGAAAACACGAGGCGGGGAGATCGCGCAACGACTGCTCAAAGGGACGGAGGGGGGTGACGGGGGCGGGGGGGGCGGGGGGGGAGGCCAGGGGAGCCCCCCGCCTCCCAGTTGCTCACAAGTTTTCGCAACCTCCGTGACCCCCTCTGCCGCCGACGCGGGGGCGCGGCGGGCCCTGCTCGCCGAAACGGGGCTCTTCCGCGGCCTCGGGGTGCCCGCGCGAGCCTGGGGGGGGGGGGCATGGGGGCAGGAACCCCGCGCGCTCCGTTTTGGGGGTGGGGGTGGTGCCAGCGGGGCCCCAGGCCTACGACGCTTCGAAACAAAAAAAAGCACGAGGAGGATGACCAGCGCAAACCAAGCACACACCAATGCGTCCATGATACTGCAGTCCGCCCTCCGTGCAAGTTCCCTCTTCAGAACTCCCCACAGAGATGCATCTTCACTGCGGGAAGTGGCCCATTGGAAAGTTACCGTCTGAAAATACCATGCCGAAACACCATTCCTGGGATCTCAACGCCGCGAATCCACGAGGCCATTGCGTCCTGACGATCCGACATCGTACAAGTATACAAGTTCTATGGCATCAACCATAAGAGAGCCTTAACCATATGCAGAATGTTGGAACACTTGTGCGCGGAGGTAAAACGAGAACCACCTTTTGAAGAACAACCACCCGCCATGTGTGAAACGTTTGCAAGTGGTATCGAATGTACGCGGCGATAAGCGAGAACAACATTTAGAACGGCTCGCCCTCCATCCGTGAAATTCATCGTGGCCTTTTACGACGAATGTGCAAGGTGCTAAAGCGGGAGCAACATATTGAGAACCATCCGCCCACAGTAGGCGAAACTCTTGCAAACGTTTAAAACGAATGCTCGCGGCGCTAAGGTAGGCACCACATTTTGAAAGCCACCCGCCTTCCATCTGTGAAGCCGTTGTCAACTTGTAAGCTTCAGGCTTATCATTGGTAAAGGAAAATCAAGTGGAATCCCTGATCCGCCCTGCCGACTGGTGTCGGGGATGCAACAGGGATAAAAGGAGGAGGAGGGGATGCAATAGGAACGAGGAGGAGGGACCAATGCAAACTCACCAACGATTTTAGACCCCTACAAGGGTTCATTCCCCACAAAGAGAAGGGACCCGTTGGGGGACAACTGACCACCTACCAGACCACCCCAACCCAACCCGAAGACCCGAATTTCGGGTTGGGGGGGTAAGGGTTCCACATGTGTTTTTTCGATGTTGACCGACCCCCCAATACTGGAAATCGAGGGTAAATCTGAGCCTTCGGGTTGGGTTGGGGTGGTTTGGTGCGTGGTGGACAACCGTCAGGAAATCCTGAAGCTTGCCAAAACACCATGCTCAGGACTCCCACGCCACGAGTCAACCTAACTTTTGCGTCTTGAGGATTATGCATTGTGCCGGAACGCCTTTCCTGGGATCAAGACACGGCGAATCAACGTAATTATTGCGCCCTGGCAGCATGGTACGTTAGCCATGAGAACCAGTGGCGCTCCTGCAATGCTTGAAAACGAAAATGCGCGGTGCCAAGGCGACAAATACATTTCGAACAAGAACCGCCCTCAACCCGTGAAGTTATTGCAATGTTTGGAACGAAAGTTCGCAGCGCCAACGCGAGAGCCGCATTTTGAGCACCACCCGCCCTCAACGCGCAAACTGTACGAATGAATGCGCGCGGCGCTAAGAAAAAGCAACATGTTGAAAACGACCCGCCCCAAACATGCGAAACTTCGGTGGCAAATGTTTGACACGAATGTCCCCGGCGCTAAATCGAGAACCGCAGTTTGAAAACCACCCGCCTTTCATCTGTATAACCCTTCAAACTTTCAGCTTCAGGGCCCAAAAGTGGTAAGGAAGTCTCAAGCGAAACGCCCAGCTCGCCCTTCCGACTGTCTTCGGGGGGCGACAATGAGAAGCTATTTATAAGAAAAGGGAATGGAGGAGCAGGTGGAGGAGGGGGATCGACGAAGGCGACGTGAGCGACGATGAGGAAAAGAGGGAAAAGGGGTGGAGCGAGCCTTGAGGAAGGGGGGGGACTTGGGGCCGGAGCCCCACGTGCCCCATGGGGGGGGGGCTGGTGCCAGCGGTGCTCAAGGCCTGTTAAGTGGTGAAAGACATGGGGGACTGTGGAACTCTAGTTTTGGAGGAAGGATATGAAGGGAGCGGGAAGGAAGAGGAGGTCGCCGTCGACGATAGCAGCGATCATAGCGACGACGCGACCAGCTCGCTGTCTTGGGTCTGCTTCTGGCAGTCCTGGAGCCCCTGGCTGGAGCCACAAGAAACCAAACACCGAACACAAAACAGAAAGAACGTCGTTTCCCTCAGGACCCGTTCCCGTTCCCATTCCTTTCGCGCGGAAAGCCTGGGTAGTCGAAGCCAATCTGGCGCCAATCTGGCAGGCCCAATCTGGCAAACGGGGGCAATCTGGCGAGGGAGCCAACGCGAATCCAGTCTGGCGAATGACCCAAGTCATCCAGTTTGGCCGGGCCAGATTGGCCCTTGGGGCCCCATCCAATCTGACAGTCTGGCCTTCGACTACCCAGCCTCAGGACCCGTTCCCGTTCCCATTCCATTCGCGCGGGAAGCGGCGACGACGACGACGACGGCGACGACGACGACGACGACGGCGAGAGAAACCGGACTCTGGCCGGAGCGGCGGGCGGGGCGGACCGGCACCCGGGTGGCGCGTGGAGGCCGGGGTGGAGTACGCACTCGGCGTTTCCTGGGAGCTGCCGCGGGTGCCGTCGTGGCACGGGGCGATAAGAACGTCGGAGGATCGGGGGGCGATGCTCGTCGTCGGCGCCGCCATCGGCGCTCGTCGTCAACGTTCGTCGGCGCCGTACAACCATCGTGCTGACAGTGAGGAGCGACCGGGAACAAAGAAGGCACTCTTCTGAAGACGACGGGCCTCTACCACAAACTTGCAAACGTATAGAGGTGTTCGCCAGCGTGCCATCTATGTTGTACAACCTACGTGGTGCCAAATATGCTGCGCACTCATTGTGGTTCAGGCTACGGATCAAAATATGCTGTGCAAGCGATGTGGTACTGTCTGAGAGGAACAATATGTGTGGAACCATCTACGCCGTGCAATCTACGTGGTGCCAAGTCCGGGATGCAGCTTACGTGGTGCATCATATACATATATGTATATATGTGTGTAGATCTAGATGTGTATATATATACATATATGTTGTGCTATATCTATGGTGGCATATATGGTGTGCATTCGATGGTGTTCAACATATGCTGTGCAAGCTATGTGGTGCATTCCAAATGGTACAACCTAAATGGTGCAGTGAATTTTCGCTCGCACACTGCTCGCGCAATCATCCCACCCACCCACTCGCAACGTGGTTTGCTGAACCCATGCGGCGGCGATTGCGATGAGTGCTTGGAATTGGCTGGGCATCTTTGCGGGCGCTGCGCAAATGTCAGCTGGGGTAGCCTGGGGCGGGCATTGAGACCAGCTGTCCTGGCATTCCATAGGCCTACCACGAAGTGTCCTTAGCCTGAAACCCCCAAATGTTCTAATATCAAAAACAATATTCTCAGAACGTAATCCCGATGTGTTAAGGCAAGACAATATCGGCCAGGCATGTTCTAAGACAATTTCGTTCAACCCACCAACAAGTCTTGGAACATTCTTTGGTGGGCCCATAGGCGAGCCGGGACGCTGCGCCACTGCTCGAGGGCTGTCAGACCCATATCGACGATGCATGGGCGATCGGGAGTTGGAAACATTCCCTCCTGAACCTATCCCCGCCGTGACCCTCGTTTCCTCCTCCTCCTCCTCCTCCTCCTCCTCCTCCTCCTCCTCCCCCTCCTCCTCCTCCTCCTCCTCCTCCTCCTCTGGCTTTCGGGTCACAACTCGGGCCTCCGACGGTCGCTCGGGACGATCTGGGTGCCCCTGGGGCGCTCTCGGCGAGACGCGGCCGTCTGGAGCGCACCCCGAGGAAGGAAAGCCTTCCGGGCCCAACGGAAACGCCTGAATACATCAAACCTGGATGCCTCTCCCCCCCCTGAGACTATCCCCACCCAGCGTTGCCCCTAAGGGGAACCACGTCGGTGTCCTTGCCGCCGTCGTCGCCGTCGTCGCCGCCGCCGTCGCCAGCATCGTCATTCTCATCGTCGTCAACGCCATCGTCGTCAACCTCGTCGTCGTCAACCTCGTCGTTGTCGTCGTCGTCAACCTCATCGTCGTCAACCAACGTCAACTGAGCAGGGACCGGCAGTCCTGGCATTTCTACAGGTCTGCCACGAAATGCTAAAAAACATGGCGAAAGACACAACCATATACAGTGGTAGATACCTTAGTTGTGAGAAATATATTCGGTGAAGCCCCCTATGTGGGGTCACGAGACGTGTGAGGGCTGTGCCGACATGGCGTGGAGAAGGCAAGCGGGCTCTGGCACTGGAGCCTCAGGTGGAGCTCGCCACGGGGCCACGAAACGTGTGAGGGGTGCAGCGACATGGTGTAAAGAACGCATGCGGGCCCTGGCACTGGAGCCTGAGGTGGAGACCGCTACGGGGGCGCGAAACGTGCGAGGTGTGCGCGGAAAAGTGTGGAGAAGGCATGCGGGCCCTGGCACTGCCGCCCTAGGTGGAGGGCCATGGGGCCACGAAACATGTGAGAGGTGCGCCGAAATGGTGTGGGGAAGCCATGCGGACCATTGCACTGACGCCTCAGGTGGAGCTCCCTGCCCACGAGGCGTGTGAAAGGTGCGCCGAAATCTTGTGGACCAAGCATGCGGGCCCTGGCACTTGGGCCCCAGGTGGAGCTCCTGATGGGGCCACGGGACGTGTCATGGCTATGCCGAAATTGAATGGGCCAGGCATGCACGTGGGCCTCAGGTGGAGCTCTCTATGGGGCCACACAAACGTGTGAGGGGTGTGCCGAACTGGAGTAGACCAGGCATGCGGGCCTAGGCACTGGGCCTTTGGTGGAGCTCCTTTATGGGGGCACGAAACGTGTGAGGGGTGTGCCGTTACGGCGTGGGCCAAGCATGCGGGCCCAACCACTGGGGCCTTAGGTGGAGCTCCCTATGGGGCCACGAACCGTGTGAGGGGTTCGCCGAAATGACGCGGACCAGGCATGTGGGAACAGCCAGTTGGGCGTTAGATGGAGCTCAATATGGGACCACGAGAAATGTGAGGGGTGAGCCGACATGGACATGCGGGAGGCAGAGGCAGAGAAGGGGACGAGGGAGAAGAGGGAGAAGGAAGGAGTGAGACGCGGGGGCGCGCGCTCTCTCTCTCTCTCTCTCTCTCGCTCTGTTAGAACGAGGACCCAACACAACAAGATGGCTGGGAACTAACACGCATTGCGTGTAGAACGTACGCCCCGTTGTTAAAGCAAGACGGTCCCATCAAGAAATGTTATGAGAAACATTTCCTGAAACCCATACAGTTCTTAAAACATGTTTTGGTGGGCCGATACGATCACCGTGCTTCCAGAAGGGACGCCAAAGAAGGAGCGGATGTACTTTTCTGCCTACGGCGAACCTTCGCCACCATCAGGTTCCCGACGTAGACCTACGGAGCGCTACGAACACCAGAGCCCCTCCTGAGCCCAGAGTGGCCCCTGTATCAGCGCCTTGGCTGTAGGATTGGGTCTAGCATGTCCCCCCACAGGCGGCTTTTGGACGAACAAGATGCAATTATAACAAATGCCTGAGTTAACTGCAGGACGGTCCGCCGACCCACGGAGGCAGGGCTGGGAAGTAAGACCCATGGTCCTCAGAACACGAATCTGCTGGGCGGTTTCTCCGAAGGGCTTAGGCGACCCGTCCTCCTCCCTCCTCCTCCTCCTCCTCCTCCTCCTGCTCTTCCTCCCTCCTCCTCCTCCTCCTCCTCCTCCTCCTCCTCCTCCTCCTCCTCCTCCTCCTCCTCCTCCGCGGCGGCTGCCTCCGCGGCTATCTGCGAGGCGAGGCGGACCAGAGCGGCAAGCCTCCGGACCCCGTCATTGGCGTCCCAGTCGGCGGACAGCTGGCGCGCGCCATTGCCCCCTCTGGCGTCGCACTCTCCACTCGTACAGGGCCGACCTTTTCAAGGTGTCCAGAGAGTGTCTCCCTTCCGGCGCCCAATCATCGTTTGAGGCTGCGGTTTGGGGATCTCTGGACGAAGTTCGGGACGCTGGTCCTCGTGAATTCAAGCGGCAAGCAGCTGCTTGCCCCTTGTCTGGAGGAAATGAAACACTGGCTGTTGCCGGTTAGGGGGTGCGCCGACACAGACGTTCTCAAGGAATTGGAGTCGGCAATTTCTTTGACACAAGTTGCGCCGGACGCTGTGTGCGGCTTGACTGAGGTCGTTCCCGGCAAGCGGCGGAGTACCAGCGTGAACGCACCTCCGCGCGAGCAGCTCTAAATGCTGCGCTGTACCAAGCAAGAGGGTTTGGACGTCCACGCAATATTGGACGTTTTGCTGATCAAGAAACTTGGGGCTTCTGCGGGTAGTTCACGCAGCAAGTACATATTGTCCGCAAAGACCGCGGACACGTTCTGCGAACTCCTGAACATGCCATTTCTCCCAACAACCCAGTGCACTGTGTACAAATTCGCCGCTGTGATCACACACGAAGGCACGGTCAAGACGATGTCGTCAGCGTGGCGCAACTTCCACCATCTGGCAGGCTACCATTGGCCCATGTTGGCTGACATCAGGTCTGGGGCGCGCAAGCTGCAGCCCCCAGCGCCTCTCAGGCCACGCTTTCAGAAGAGCAGGCTGCGGCAACTCTTGGTGCATTGTGCCCAAACAGGGAATTTCTGTCAGGGCATGGGCCACATGATGGCGTATGCATTTTTGATCCGAGTCCCATCCGAGCTGTTGGGGCAATTGAAGCCTTGTCTTCTGCAAGTGGATGGGGGCACAGTGCGCTTCGGCCCGATCCGGCGCAAGGACCAATTGCACGCGCAGTCCACGTCCGAAGCCAAATGTGTTTGCAAACTCGACCCCGTGATTTGTGTGCACACGTGGGCGTCCTGGCTGCTCGCTGGCCGCGGTGACCTGGACGAGCTTACCCACCAGGGTACTACAGCAAATTTCTGGCTGGTCTTCGCGACGACCTCGTTACCGTCGGCACACTGGCGGCAGAAGACTCTGGGATAGCGTCCCATGTTTTCCGCCATGGGGCCGCCGTAGACATCCATGACTCTGACGGGTTCGCCGCGGCCTGCGCCAGAGGGTAATGGCGGAGCAAGGCCGTCACGGCCTGCATACCGCCTACCACGATTGAGTCCCTGGTCGTAGCCGAAGCTTTGTGCATGGAATCGGACGGAGATGTGGTCCCGAGTTCGTATTTTCTCGATCGTTTTGTATTGGTTTCCTGTGGGGGCGCGGTTTTTTCGGAAGCGTTCCGATGGAAAACGCAGGAGCGGGAGGCAGGGGACCAACTTCCAGTGTTAGGGGAACGGACAATGACAGAAACGCGGCGCCGTAGGCGCCGCCAGGGGGCCCCAGCGCGGAACCGAGAAACCCGCGCGGATCTCCGAGTTTTTATGTTCATGTCATTTGTTCGTTCCCCCAAGTGCCTCTCAGACTCTTCAGTTGGTTCCCTCCTCTCCTCCGCCTGCAGCTTGGGCCCGCGCGCAGTGCCGAGCCGCGACCCGCCCG